TTCCCTTCTCCAGCTGAACCAGCCAAACTCTCTGCCTGTCTCCCCAGCAGGGGAGCTCCAGCCCCAGGTTGGATCCTGAGTTGGGAGCAGTAGCAAGATGCTAAGAGTGCTAAACATTCACAAAATATTAGAAGTGGAGCAAGCGTAATTAGATTTTTCCAGGGTAATCATCTCTGCTTTCATTCCGAGTGGAAGAATCACTCAGCTGAAAGGAACACAGAGAGCAATGTGTGGTGGAACAACGAGTGGTTAAAGTATTCCACAAATGCTTTCAGTTTGATTCTGCCTTTGTAATTAAGTTCCTAGCAGACAGAAGGAATGTAAATCATCTTAGAGCTCCAGACAGACCCTGGATCCTCCAAGAGACACAAGATGTGAGGCAGACAGCTGCTTTTCCTCCCCAAAGGTGCCTGCCTGGCTTCTCAACATGCTCATCACTGCCTCTCCCTGCTCCACCACCCACCCAGTTTCGGAGGGTTCCCCAGTCACTTGTGAGCGTGGTGGGAAGGGAGCCAAGCACTCAGCAGCTGCTCCTGCAGCACGGCCAGGACAAACAAACGCACTTCGCCGAGTCTGGAGGAATTCTGGTACCACCTGCCATTAACTGCTTTCCAGCCAGTTTTGCATGATGATTTATTCATCTCTTCAAGCAGGATCGTTACTTATCTGAGAAATCATTAGCATAATCTTTCCTCATCACACTATCCAGTAATGGTTTCCTTGGTGGACCAAGGAGGCAGTTCTGGAACAGGCTCTGTTTAATTGTTCCTGACAAGCAGCACAAGCAGCTTCTTTCAGCGTGTGGGATGGAGAAGAGAAACTCAGGAAACACTGGAAGAAGCTCCACACGCAGAAATAGCTTCTTTTATCTATAAAGAGGCTGGAACAGAATCAGAGCTGTCACCAGACATTGCACTGAGTGGAAACACAAAGACACTGGAAGGTCTGTGGTTCCTCCAGAAACAATTAGTGTGTGTCTGAGCTGCCCAAGTCATCCCAACTACACTCAGTTCTGAAATGTAAATCTCCCTTAGGTTCAGGACCAGCCCTGGCTCAGCCCATTCTGGCAGCAGAGGGTTTGCTTTACACAGGCTTTTTTTCACTCTGAGTCCCTGCAATGATGAAACTCTAAAGGGCTGTTGGAGCCTGAATCTTAGGCTGTTGTGCAGGTTTATTCTCCATGCTTGGCCAATAAATTATCCAAAGTATGGAGCTGTGTTTCTCATCTGGTGTGAGGCAGAATTCAATTTGCTGTATTAAGAGAAACTCCCATGATTGTTTTCACTGCTTAGGAACATCCTACTCGTGCCAGGTATGAGCTGTGGTAGTGGAACAGCCTAATGCTGGTGGGTTTGGCTTTTAACATGCAGTTAAGTGAGAGGAAGATCCAAAACACTTAAAAGCTCCACTTAGGGAGCTGAAAATTCTTCCGTTTCTTTCATGTCTGAAGTTGTAGCATAAATTATCCCTCTACTGTTAATGAGGTAAGACTCGGTCTGGCTGCAGGTCTGTGTTTCTAAGTTTCAAAGCCCATTGCACTCGTGTTTTGGAGAAATGGCAACACATTTCAAACAGTTTGTTGCCAAAATACTGAATGATAGATAATTGTCTCTGTGCTTCTGGGAAAAGGGAGATTATATAGCCTAATTAAGTTCTGTATTTGAAGACCAACCCACTCCATGTTGCCAGCACAGAGCTTATCATTCCCAGGAACCAATATCCTTAGAAACTCCTGTTTTGTGTTGATTTTTCCTTTCCAGTTTCCTTTAGCCTCTTTAATTAATGTAGTGCAGGAAAAAAATAATTTGCTGCTCTTCAGTTCTAATTCTTGGTGTCTGTGTGCTAGGATTGAACTCGTGATTACATTCAAATGTCATTTTTAGCCATATATTCATCATTAGATCAAAGTTGGAATGACAGACACCAGCAACAACTTGAGGAGTGATAAATTTTAACAAGAATATTTGCCTTCTGTTGGAGGTAATTGAAAGGGAAAGTACAAGCATTTCTGTAAAACGACAAATTTAAAGCATTCTGTTATAAATGAAATCTGTGCTTGTCAAAATCAGAAGGCAACAGGGGGTTTGTGGCATGCTCAAGAGATCTAAACCTCACCTTCCCAAAAGAGAAGGAACCATCCCCTTACTGGGGTTATGTTATGGCAGGGAAAACATCACCAGGTGGAATTGGCACTTACCTGACATGCAGTAAATGGTTTAATTCTCCAGAGGAAGGGAGGGATGTCAAGGACAGAGATCTGAAGGCTGCAGGTATTTCCTTTGAAATGCAGAAGTTTGGGTTCCTCCAGTAACTGTCCTCCCTGGAGTCTTTCATCCGAAACCACTTCCTGCATGGAGAGAATGTTGCCAGTGTTAGGAACAAACCCAAATCTAATGAAAATCCACCAGCACAGCTATCCTTGGGGTTTCAATTGAGTGAATGAAAAGCTGAGAAGCTTTTCTCCAGGTTTTTAAGAGCACTGAAACACACACACCCTGAGGGAACACACCAGGCAAAAGAATTCAGTTTCATTTCCTCTCTCTGGGGCATTTTCAGAATCACTGGCCAAGCCCCTGAGCAGCCTTGGAGGGGGAGGCTGGGCAGGGTTTGTACTGCTCCAAACTCAGCTTGTATACAGCTCTGTGAATTTAAAATGTAAGAGTTTTTTTTTAAAAAAACCCGTCTGTACTTCCCCAATGTTTATTCCTGTGCTGTTCCAGCAAAGATACTTAGTGAGGAAGGGAAGGTTGCAGAAGTCTTTAAAACTCAGCTGGCAAACAGTCTTCAAAATTACCTTTTTTTCCCCCCACATCAATTATACCAAATCTGTGTACAAACAGTCTTCAAAATTACCTTTTTTTTCCCCCACATCAATTATATCAAATCTGTGTGCACCAAGGGGTTTAGTGCTTGTCAGTCCCAAAGTTATTGTTTGAAGAGCTCCTGGAATCATTGTGACCTTCTGAAAACTCAATGTCTGTTTGAGCTTTCTCAAACTGTCCTAATGGATTTCTATTAGAAACCAATTTTCACAGGCATTTGGTTTGGTTTAACTCTTGATGAACAGGGTTCTGTATTCTCCCTGTTCCCCACTAATATTTATACTGGCTGTATCATTTCATAAATACACTATTGTCTCACTCTCTACAACCACCCTGTTCTAACTCCTGTGAATGCAGAAAACTGGTAATTATTCTCCTCAGAATTTCCTGCAGACTCATCAGGAAGACATTGGCACCCACTAATTGCGTGAGTGTCACAAGGAGTATCAGTGCAAAGCTATTGTTAGTCTCTAACAATCCTTTTGGTGGCTTTGCTTTCATTAGAAGCTCATAGACATCACTGTGTGCTGCAGTGAGATTCATCTTGCCATCATGTATGATAGGGAGAGGGAGCAGAAATTCATGCCACAACTTCTTCAGTTCCAAAAAGAAGCATTTTGTTGAAGATTCTGAGGCTCCTAAGGCTGCAAAAGGCAGTGAATGTCACTGTTTTATCTTGGAATCCCATGTAGAAAAACCACGTTCACTTGAATTGCCACTTGGGGTTGGGTTGGGGGTTTTTTGAAAGGAGAAATGGACAATTATTTGATTTTTGTTTCGGAGGACAGAGCCAATCTTTTGCTTCTTGCCTCCAGCTCTCAAAAGGAGAGGAAATCCTGAGCTCAAGGGTGACAAAGGCTGTACTTCAGCTGAGAGTGGCTCACATGTCTGTGATGGGGCAGCACTCAGCTCCAGCTGTGAGCAGGATCTGCCTGGGCCAGGAGCAGCCAGACCCTCTGTGCACATCAGCTGTGCCTTTGTGCTCAGCCATAGCTACACGAGTGTGGTTAGTCTAGAACGTGGCACAGAGGGTTTCATCTGCCTGGTAAAAAATGACAAACCACTTTGGCTGTCCTAAAGCTCTCACAGTGTAAATCCACCTGTGAATCAACGCTGCAGAGGAATTAAGGGACCTAGAGTCAATCATGCAGCAGTGGCTTCAAAAATCCCATCTGATCATGCGATTGAGTTCTGAGCTATTGGTGCTCCCAGGGACTGTCCCCAGGAAGAAAGGGATGTTAGCATGGATAAACAAGCCAAGCCAAATTAGCAAAGTGAAGCCATTTACCTGAAATGCACAAGGGGTGTTATCCATACAATATACTCTCAGATTGTAATCCAGAGAATTGCAAGACAGGCAGCCAAAAACGGCGACTTTCAGCTGTCGAACGGCGCAGTCAGAGATGGGATCGCCAATAAGAGCATAAGTTCCAAAGCTGTTTAAGAGAATGTGACAGGCATAAGGATCCAACAGGCAGTAGCAAGAAGTAGTTTCCTCTTCCACAGACATCACTTCCTGCAAAATGAAATTCAGGTTTAAAAAAAATAAAGTCAAGTCAAATCAATAGGCCTCGACAAGAGGAGTCATGGCATTACTTGTCTATTTGTATTCAACTGAAATGCAAAGTATTGCTGAGAACCAGGCTGCACACTCAGGGAGGGAGAAGGTACCCATATGAGTAAATATTCCCAATTTAGCCCTGAGTCAGCAGTAGGATTTATGGCAATACAGTGTGCAGAACCCAATGTGTACAGCATACAATAATAATGATGATGTGTAAGCAATTTTAGCATCTTTTTTTTCAAGTGCTCTTGACTTTCTAGCTAATTTTTCTCCCCAATGTCAAGTTAAAAAATTACCTTGAAGATTAAAGTCAATAAGCAAACCTTGAACAATAGCTGGTGTTTGACTTCCTTTCAGAACATCCATTATAGTTACGTTTACCTTCATCAAAAATCTACCTATCCCAACTCCTGTGCCTTTGCTGCTGAGTGCTGCATTACAGCACCAGGAGATGAGGGATTTGAGCAGTCTGCACTCTGGTGTCACACTCCTCAGCGAGTCCAGGCTGTTTGTAACCAGCACTGATGGAGCTGACTAAGTACTGAGTAAATCTAAAGTAGGAGAACTAAGCTGAACTGGAAATAGTTTAAATGAGAGCAACAAACAACAGAGTGGTTGGTACAGGGGAGCAAAAAGAGTGGAGTTATGGGTTTAGAATCCATGAATGTTTTAACTCCTAGTTTGTTCCCCTCACTATGCAATGAGCCAAACAGTTCCAGCAGCAGCAATGCCTATGGATTTGTGCCTAGTTACTGGCTCTGCTGTTCACAGCTACAGTGAACACTTTACAGTTGGGAAATTCAGCTCTTTCCATCCTGTGTGGGTTTCTGCACTGTTGAGTAACAGTTTGGTTCATGCTTTAGGCTGAGTGACTCCCCAGATGATGCAGGAAGTTCAATACCTTTGAGACTGTTGCCTATCAAACAGTTGGGTTGGAGGTGGCCAAAGGGGTTAAAAAGGCAGGTGGACAGACTCAAATGATCATGAATGCACAAAGCTTCATTTCCCCAGTCAATCAGGATTAGAAAATACATATTCAATGGAAAAAGCACAACAGTTTGTTTAATGTACACTAAACCTTCAGGGGTTCGGAGCACAGGGCAAACCCTGGGGATGCCCATTGAAGTGATGTGTACAAAGAGACAAGATTTTTAAACTGGGAGGATCCTTCTGTGTTAAAAACCCCAAACTTGTGTATTTTCAACCATTTCCATAACTTTCTCTGTGTCATGCATATATATGATATTCTGTTCTGCCATGAGTCTCTTTGGGAGCTGTGATTAATCACAGCAATAAATCTGAGAACATGAATCCTCCTCCTGTCCCATGGATAGATCATAAAGCTGACCCTGTTTTGCATGTCTATGTAAACCAGTTGCAAACAATTTTGCAGCTCCTTCACACGATGCAATATCTTTTTTTTTTCCCAATTGTTCCTGTCTCTGTCTGTCACTGACACAATCCCTGACCTACAACTGCATGATGAGTTCATTCTGTTCCCATGGTTAGTACAACTTTTTAGCTGGAAGTCCAAACTTACCTCCCATTTCCCTTGCTGAGTCCTTTTTTTCAGGTGGATGTTCCAGTGCTCTGGGTTGACATCTGCACAGTGAGGGATGGTCAGGGCGAAGGGTGTGCTGACAGACACGTCCGAGGGGCCACACGTCACCTCTGGGCTCAGGAGGACATCTGTGCCCTCTGGCTGGAGGCTTTGGGGGGAGGAAGGACAACAATGTCTGTCAGGAGGGAAGATTTACTTTGACTGCAAATTTCCAAGTGTATTAGTTAAAAATCTGAGCACCTCATCTATCACAGAAAGGCTAAGCAAACTCATTCCTGTGCTTCTGTTCATGTAGGAGCAGTAGCTGGAGCTGAGACAAAACCATTAGACCTCATCTAACTCCAATCATGGCTGGTCAGTTTAGGATTCTGGTATTTAAAATACATTTCAATTTGCTTAAAGCAAATACAGCACTAAAATTGCTCTCTGCAAGTAAGCCCTGCTGCAGGCACCAGCTGGTCCCATTACCATCTCGCTCTGCCTTCAAAGACTGTCATCAACAATATTTTCACAGTAGCAAAGATAAAACAAATTATGGTTTAAAAACACAGGCTCATAAATTTTTCCAGATTGAGTGTGATCTCCCTGGTTTGAAAACCCATTTATATTCTGCAGGATGAGCAAGTTCAGTAACTTCTACAGACATTGGGGACAGGTCGTCTTTGCTTAAGTTAGAAGTCTTCAAAGTGGATCAGTGCATTGGCAGTGCAGATCCCACTGGCACCACTGAAGGTTAGGGACTCATCTGATCTGAATTAATCACCCAGGTTTGGTTGCATTATCTGCTGCTAAGTTATAGAGATGAAGAACCTTCTCTTCTTCTCTTTCATTCAAGCCTAAATTTAACCCAGTCCCACATCACTGCGTTTTCCATATCTCTTAGAATAACCTATGCAGGACCAGTGCCAAAGTGGAAGAGACTGACTTAGACATTGAAATCAGCAATTGGAACATCTTGTCCTGTTGGGTTTGGTGGAGTTTGATGGTATTTTAAACACTGTGATCCTTCTTCAGGGTTGGATGATCTCAGTTGGCAGGTCTCAAGTGCTGCTCCTGCACTTTGGCCA